TGAGTCACCATCACTTATTGTTTAAACCCGGGGGTCCAAACCTACTAGTGGATATGGAAATCTATGGGGGTCCAAATCAACTGGGACACCGCTCCCGAATGAACTCCGCACTAAACAGTGTAAAAACTTTCCGCCGTCAAAATGGTAACATTTTGTGACAAAGACATTTAAAACTTGTTTATTTTATTGTTAAAAGTTCTTGTTAGGGACCGGTCATTAAATATGGCAAGGGGTGGATGGAGGAAAGTAGGGGGTCCTGAATTATTTTTTTCATTGAGATGGGGGAGGGGTCTTGAAAATTACACATGTGAAAGAAGGGGGTCTTCGGATTTTTCCCAACAAAAGGATTGTTTCTCGTTGCATACTATGAACAGCCAAAAGAGATGCATAAAATGCCCTTAAACAACACTGGGTATTAACATAACGAGTAAAGCATAAAAAACATAATATAAACGTGGATGTAGGCGAGACAAACATAGGCCATAGAGTAACCTACCTAAATAGATTGTAAAATATTTATTTAACTAGTTTCGTCAAATTTTATACCTCTTTTAATACTCTTCATTGATCACTTGCTCTCCTAAGCTTTGTCCTAATCGGGCCAGCAATCAATACAAAACTATATTTTCAAGCGGTAAAACAGGGGGGGGGGGCTTTTAAAAGTACAAAATGCGTAAGGGGGGGGGGCTTGTAAAAGCATATAATTTTTGAGGGGCGCCCCGAAATATTTTTCAAAATTTTTAGTTTCTCTTCCATCCCCCCCTTGCCATATGCCATATTTAATGACCATTCCCTTATAATTCACATGCAAATTTAATATTTTTTGAAAGAGCGCCGCCCCCGATTGAGCGCCGCATCTGGAGCTCTGAAATTTAAAGAGCGCCGCGGCGCTCAAATGAATAAATACGGTAGAAGTAGATGTTGACATTTCAACATCTACTTCTCCGATTTCCGGTAATAATTCTTCTTTAAGAGTTTTAAGTTTGAACTTCGTGTATTTAATCTTCAGTTCCGGTGCTTGTTCTCAAATCGGCTTTCGCCCATAATGTTCGTATCAGATCCACTGTCCGGTTCAGTTACGATATTTTTGCCGTTTATTGTGCATGTTTTCCATTTATCAGCGTCATCTTGGCTTGTATGGTGTGTTTTGGGGTGACTCATGAAACATTCGTCGTCACTTGAGCTGTCGTCACTATTATTGTTGCAATTATTGCCAACGTCACAAGCTCGGGGAACGAGATTGTGTCAACGTGTCTTGTGCGTCTGGTTTGGCTTGTCTCGCGCTTATCATCACCGCGATAACCTCGTTTATCTCGAATGTTCTTCGAATCTGAACAATATCTAATTATCTGGAAAGCTATCTATTACGGCATACTTCGAAACCTGGACTGGGACCCGGACTCGAAGAAAATTTGGACTCGAGAAAAACCCGGACTTTGAGAAAACCCAGACTTTGAGAAAACCCGGACTTGACTTTTAAAACCAGGACTCGAAATACAAGAAACCGGATTTGGAATACGGACTCTGTGTACGAGAATGGAAAGGATTTTTTGCAAAAGATTAACAATAGTTAATAACATGATAAACGATGGTATCTTTATATCTATATTTTCTTCTGGTGTTAATTAAGAATAATCACCTAACTATACTGGAACCAAATCATTTAGGCACTTAATTAAAAGCTAAAGTGTATTTATGCATATTTCTATACAGTAGCTATACAAAGGTAGCATGCTGGTTCTCAATATAACTTGATTTATTGTCAAACTTCATTGGTCCAATATGCTACCCTCGTAGCTGGTCGTAGAAGTATGCATAAATACATTTTAGTTTTTAATTAAGTACCTATAAATCGTTTCGTTCCAGCTTATCTAAGTGATATATTAATCTTTTAACACCAAAAGAAAATATGGAGATAAAGATATAAAGAGACTATCGTTTATCATGTTAATAACTATTATTATGCAAAACACCTTTCCATTCTCGTACACAGACTCCTTGTTTAGAGTCCGGTTTTGTTTATTTCGAGTCCGGGTTTTCGAAAATCAAGTCCGGGTCACGGTCGTGGTTTTCTCGAAGACGAGTCTGGGTTTTTCTCGAGTCCAGATTTTCATCGAGTCCGGGTTTCGCAATATGCCATCTATTACTTACGATTGTCTATATTGTGTTAGTTTTTCCTTTGCAAAGCAGACTCGCGCGTAGTAGTGTTTCACCAATAACAGGGCAGGTGGTGTGTTTCTTTGAATTCCGGCAGCGTCAACATGCATGCGTCATTTAATTGGGTGTCGTGTAGGTTTTCTTTATAAAGGCCGATTTCTTTATTCTTTCGCGCGCGATTTCTGTGTTGATAGCTGTCTCTGTTTAATATGATTCTATCTAATGCCCACTTTTCGCGTATAGCCTTGCTTCGAATTTTGTAATTGAGATGGTCTGCGTATTCGCATTTCTTTGCAATGTTGCGTACGTATCTTGCGTTATATTCAGCTAGTCGTTCGAAGCTTTGTGGTTTCGGCCGGCCCAACAACGCGGTCTCAGAATTTCAACTCAACAATGAAAGGTAAGCAATTTGATTACCGTAACGTTGTGCCGAGAATGTCAACGCGGTTGAGAATACCTCTGTTGAGAATACAGCAAAGAGCCAAGCTGGCTTGCGAGGTTGGCCCCGTCATTAACTGTGCCCCGTCGTAGGGACTTAAAGTTGCATTGTTGCATTTTTTATTAGACCTGGTTAGGTCCAATACAAGTATATACATTTCCTCTCGTTAATATCCATTAATATCCAATAAAATAAGTACTGAGTTGCAGTTACGTATATTTTATGAAATAGTCAATAGATAGCATAACGCATATTACACAATGTTTACTAGTTGCGTGTGCCCTATTTGCATTGAATGCGGAAATAATTTGAGACTTGAAAAATCCATAATTTTGAAAATGCGGTATTCTGAATTGAATCCCAAATCAAATGCCACATCGAATACTAACTAAAAATTCCAACTTGAATCTTAACTCGGTATATAGTGTTCAAAATATCCAGGAAATCTGAATATTTTGCGCCGGTCAAATGAGCGGCCGACTGGAGCGGTATTACCAGCTGTGTTCGAATTCGTACTTTATTGTATGGATACCCGATTACTTGTGGCTATGGCGGGTCGGCAAACTTCGACATTAATTTTGAGCAATTTTATTTGTTGCACCATGTTAAGGGCGCAAAATAAAATCAGGAAACGGACGTATATTGCCTGATTTAGCATTAATCAGGGGCAATGGGGGCATGTGGCTCTCCGAAAAATGTCCTTTAACGTTAACATTAAGCAAAGATTGCTTAAACATTGCTTAAAAATAGTTATAAATTCCAATTCATGTGAATAACGCACAAATTTCAAAGCGCAGTTCTGGTGAAAAAGGGCAACCTGTTGCCCCCGTGCCGCCCCCGCACTGTTTCGGCAACGGGGGCAGTTGCCCCCGTGGCTCTGGCGCTCCTGCTATTGTTAACCATGCAGCACGAGACAAATTTTGTCTTTTCAACATGAACTACCGGCAAAAATCTCAACATTGTGGACAGATAACTACAACTGTCAGCCGCTACTTATAATGCAGCGGTACTTAGCAATGATGCATTGGTAAACTCCTACGCCGGTCATGCAGGTACCGTACAATCAAGAGTGATCGAACTGTCAAAGTTTATTTTATTAAAATTCCACTAACCCCAAATATAATATTAGTTATGTGTAATATTTGGGTCATTCTAAGAAGAAACGTAATATATATTTATAGTAAAAAACTATCGTCCAATCCCATCATCGAAATTGAGCTGTAACACTTTATTTCCAATGCCACAGCTTTTGCTTGTCACTTATAAACAATGCTTAAAAGAGCGAGAACAAAACTGTTTAAATATTGGAGAGGCGAGGCTGAATTTTGGAATGGGAAATTCTTGTTAATTCCTCTACGGAATGAGGAATTTATTTTAAATGTGACTTGGAATATGGACTTTTCAGTTTAACAATTTAATACGCAACTTTTTAATGTCAAATTTATGCATTATGCCAGATCACCCTTGGGAATGTGGAGTTTTTAATCGCAAAAATTCCGCCTCATCCTCCGATGTTGTAGAAGCGTGTAAATTTTTTCATGATTACAATTTTACTAATGGCCAGGTTTCTCGTTCAATTTAATAGAAAAAAGCACTTGCAAATTTTTCAATTCTACAGTTCACACACCCTCTTGGACTGTGATGTAAAACTGAAACGCTTAGAAGGGAGCTCTCAGAATTTGCGCAGTGACAAGTCGTGCATGGATGGTGCAACACGTCCCAACATGATAAACATGGAAAGTTCCAGTATCTACATTTGGTTCTAGCAATTCTTCAATTAGCGTTTTTCAATTAAAGGAAATAAAAGATTTTCTCGACGATTTCGATATAGCAAAGCTATTTCATGTTGATGCCAAACAAATAATGTAGTGCACATAACAAAAATCATCGTATCGTTTCACTCTACAATTGAAAAGAACTTTCCATGGTTATGATAATGAAATCGCAAAAATATTGGGACGTTTTGCTCCTCAAATCAACATGAAATTCTACACATTTCCCCTTCTATACTGACTGTTCTTTGCTCTTTAGACATGTGCAAGTTTGTTCGTCGTGTTTGTTTCTTTTTCGAAATTGCATTCGACGAAACCATGCTATTATGCTTATATATAGTGAAATTCTTACATATGTCTTTATTGCCTTGGGGAGTGATTATTACAAGGAGAGCTTTCAGCCTGGGTTGAGATTCAGACTGGTTCATTCAGCTGACGTTTGACATGAAATTTCTATACGTATAATCATCGTAAACAGTATCATCGTATTTGGTGTCACTCTTTGAGTAAGGACTCATAGTGCAATTAGCCTTCGTCCATTCTCTATTCATCATGTTTCAAGTTATAATTTGGGAAGTATTCTTCAAGACGATTCCGTTCTCTCAAGTTTTCGCATATGGCATTGAACTGGACGCCAAATTCCATCAAGGAATATGTTCCTCTCTCGACTTCTAGTGGATAACCCTGCGTGTGCATTGCAACGATATTCCCATTCAGATCAAAAACAGGAGAACCGCTAGAACCAGAAAATAGAGTTGTGTCGTATGGAAGACATCCTTGTTTCTGACGTTTGTTGATATACTCCCGTAGTAAATCGTCATTGGTCATGTGAACGCCAGGAGAAATTTGTAAATTTGCATTTTGCCTTTGCCGAAACACCGAGTTTATTCGCTTAAATTTCTCATCCCTTTGCTTGAAGATCTCACGCCAAGAGTGGTTGCTGACAACAACGCATGTTTCCTCTTTCATTTCGCTTCCTCCAGGATGGCCAACGATAGCAACCAGACCATCATGTAATAAACGGTTTCTAACAATCTTACCAAGGCCTTTGCGATCCTTACAAGCTTCGCATTCTTTCAAACGCAAAAATTTATAATCCAGGTGAGAACTTTCAAGCTGGGGATCGTGTTCTTCATCAACTTCTGCTTTACGAATACGTTCTGGTTTTCCAGGTTCAAAATAATCAAATAAAACTTCAATGGGCAGGTGGGGATTGTTCAAATGCGCTCTTTCCTCCATAAACGACATATAAACATGATGACAAGTTATCACCAGCATGTCTGTAACAAGCCAACATGTTCCTACCTTTTCTCCGCATGAAATTCGACCAATAGATTCTATGTACTGACCAAGACGCCGACTCAAGATGGCAGGTTTTATAGTCGAGGCATTTTTCAAAAGGTCCTCTCTTGCGAAGTTGAGAATCTGTTGATTGCCGCGCACAAATTGTCCGTCATTTCTCTCACGTTTATATTCACTTTGTGGGCTCAAAAGATTTGCATAAGCTGAGGATCTAACATTTTTTGTCATGGATTTACGAACATTCTCAGTCAAAGGTTCCTTGCTCGATGCACGATGAGCATATACGTACTTGGCATAAAATGTTTTCATGGTTTCTTTAATTTGAACAAGGTCTTCATTTGGTAACCTTTCTGTTCTGGTTGGGTTGCACGCTTCTTCAATCAACGCATCTACTCGGTCCTCTGAAAAAAGTAAATATATGATTATATACCATAACACGTGATTATTGTCTCATCGATCTCAATGTTGGAACGAGCGCACAGAAGTATTACAGAGAAACGAATTATTTGTGATGAAGTATTTTGAAGTAAATAAAATAAGTTACGAGGGGCATATTAACCATCTTAGGGAATGGCTGAATATTTAAACATACATCACAATTTTGGTGCTTGGGCTTGAAATTACAAAGTATTTTGACGATCAAGGGAGATAAGACTGAAAACATTTTATTCGGTTAATAGTAAAGCCTTCATAGAGGATTGTATCTCAGGCAGATATTGCTGTGAGTAAAGATAAACTAATATGTAAGAGATATGAGTGTCAGTGTCCCGAGTGTGCGTAGATCATTAATACACTATCTTCATTGAATGCAGTAGTGGACGCGCTATATTATAGATCTGCCAGTGAATTCAACATACAACACTGTCACTGGTGGTTTATCGAATTCACAAGTGAGAGTGCTGTACCTCATGAATTATTTAGCAGCTCTATATAAATAGAGTTCACTATAAACTCACTCTTTTAGTCTTTAAACAATGTATGAATGATTTATGAAATATAGAGCTCCGAAATACTTTTACTTGATTGGGTGCAAACATTTTCAAATCTAAGTTAAAACAAGACGCTCTATAGAGCGTTAACTCGCTGGGGCTATACAAACACGCACATTACCGTATATGATACATGCATGCAGTATACAGTTGTTTTAATTAAGATTTAAGGTTGTCCCTTGGTTGTCCCGAGCGAAGCGGAAAAGTCGAATACGAGCGCGAAAGGGTTGAAAATTAAACTTTTCAGTTATTTATTATTTATTTATTAACTCTTATTTAAAAACGGTAACCCTTCAACACACCTAGGTAGTTGATTTCCAAGGGGCCGTTTAAAATATTTACAAAATATTAAATTAAAAATATACATTATTTACATCACAACAACGTAATTAGGATTTAACATGCAAGAAATGTTGTCAAATATAAAGATATTTACAGAATAATATAAAGTAACTTAGTTAACATGCAGGAAATATCAAATATAGAAAAATAGTTACAGAAGAAAATCACGTATTATTTGCGATCGAGAGCAGCCTTAAATTGGCCAATTGTCATATTTGTTGCTTTTGTATTATTTGACAAATTGTTCCACGCTATTGCTCCATTATAACTGATACTTTTTTTCATGTAATTTGTATTTGGCTTTTGTAAAAGAAAATCATTACCGTTGCTGCGTAAATTGTAGCTTTGTTTATTAGCGATTTCGAACAATTGGTTCATGCTTTCTGGTAGCTCACTATTTTTCGCTTTATACATAAACACTAACTTATTTTTCTCCCATCGATCAGCTAAGGGTTGCCAATTTAATTCCTCAAATATCTCTTTAGTTGCAATTTCATATGGTCTGCCAGTGATGACCCTTGCAGCCCTGTTTTGCATTTTCTGCATTTTGTCGCGCAGATATTCGCTGCAGTTAGTCCAAACAAGGCTACAGTAATCAAAATATGGCAGGTATGTAAGGTGCATGTATATCCGCTACAGCTAGAAATTCTGTTTTCCAATCTTCCCACATAAAATCAGGGTTGTCAGTATTTATCAACGTAGACGGAATTTTACTTAAGTCGTTTTTAAACGCTGTTTCTTGATAATTTTTATATTGCCTTGTAACTATTATTTTTGGCTGTTTGCGCGGTATTGAAATTTTCCTTTGTATAAAAATAAGACTGTGGTCACTGATTCCAACATGTTCTATGCCTGATTTGACAATATTTTCAGGCTTGTTAGTAAATGCTAAATCAATTAGCGTTGCTGAGGATTCAGTAATCCGAGTGTGCCCCGTAATTAACTGCTTAAATTGGTATGTAGTCGCAATATCTTTAAGTTTATCTGTAATTTGCGAGCTTGTTTTACTATTTTCTGGATCCCAATTACAGTTAAAATCTCCTATAAGTATAATCTCCTTATTCTCTACGTCCATTTTTTTAACGCATTCTTCAAAATTAGCAAAAACGGTACTTGAAGTGTCAGGCGGTCTATACCAAGTATTAACTAGAAATGACTTCGATTTTGGCTTAGAGATTTCAACTGTTATCGTTTCCAGATTATCATCTTCTAGGTCATACCTTTCTATATAACTAATCACACTTCTTATGTAGATAGCCACGCCACCTCCATTTCTATTCCTATCGTTCCTAATTATATCGTAACCCCTTATATATATACTTCATGGTCAGCTACCGTGTCATCTAACATAGTTTCACTTATACTAATTACATCATATTGCCCTTTTTGTAGATATACCCTCAATTGATCAATGTTTTTAACGAGACTTCTGATGTTTAGATGAGCAATTTTAAATCCTCTATTTAATTCCCTCTCTTTAATTATATTATTTCTATTGAAGCTTTGGCTTTCTGCTCCATTACTGACATTACTCATTGTCCTTATAATTGAACTATTATTATTACTTGTATCGGGGCTTTGTTTATCTAAATCATTACGTACTAAACTTGAGCTACTCGGGCTATTCTCAACCGCAACGGTATTTCAATTATACTTTATATTGTTCAAATACGATAGTAAATTACTTGCCATAATTGATGACCCTTGCCTATTCAAATGGATTCCATTGGGATTTAAATGCCTGGCTTCAATGTTTTCATGTTTAATTAAATCATAATTATTATACTCACATAATTCTGCAAGTTCTTTGTTTACCTTTTGTACTTTTGCTTTATAATCAGGTTTATCTGCTCTGGTTACCAACATTGATAAGGCAATTTTCGTGTTCGGACTTTCCTGGTGTATTATTTCGCATATATCGCCAATCCTTTTGGTAATTTCTTTCTCGTCCTTGGTACCAATGTCCTTGGTACCAATGTCATTCGTCCCAACATGTAATATTATTCTGTCCAGTTTTGTTGTCAAGCACGGCTTTACGTAGTGTTTCATTGTATCAACTTTGGCTCCCCGATAAGTTTCGTTCCTAATTCTCGATCCACGAGAGTGCCGCACGTTAACTGCCCGTTGTAATCTTTTACAATCAATTTGTTTTATGATCGAGTCGCCAATTAATACCGTGGTTTTGACAGTATGGCTGGACCTAGTAAGCCCGTCATTAACCGATTCCCTATTTTGATGTTGTTGTTGGCGTAATTCTCTGTTGTTATTGAATCTTGTTTCTTGTCTTTCGTCTTGTGACGCATTACCGATCTTTTGATCTTGTTGTTTATCTTGTCGCCATGTCTCGCAATTTTTGTCATACCTGCTACTGTCCGAGGACGCAAGGCAGTCTACAATCGGGTCACGGCGGATGTTTGCATGGCCATTCGCTCCGGTATCATCATCACTTTCAACTATTTGCAAAGTTGAATATCTGTTCGATACTGCCAACAATTGTTCTTCTTGTACTTTAGCTCTTCCTTCATTGCTGCTACGTTTCATCACATTTTTTCTCGCGGACTTCCAATCACCATGGCGGGTTTCATGAACTTGTTCCGGCTGTAATATCTTTATAACAGTTAGCAAACTTGCCTTTTCGTTCTCAAGGTCCTTTAGTTTTGTATTTAAGTCAGTCATTAAGTGCGATATGTTAGTTGCCCTTTCCTCTAGCATTTTATTCTCTTCTTTAAGTTTTTTGTTGGCCTTGAGCAAATAGTTTATATATTCGTCGGATTTATTTCTGTCGACCTTAGCCGGCTGATCGTCAGTTTTAGCTTTGATTCGACTTATTTCATCACATAGGTATTCGAACTTGTTATGCATTTGTTGTTGTACATCACTAATTTTCTCGAATAACTCAGCAAAGGCAAAAACATCCGAGGTGCCCCTCCCATGCATGTTTCGCTTGGTTGCCTTCTTGCTCAAATGCATTACCGCCATCTTTCTCAATTTCTTCTGTTTGTTTATCGATATTTGGAATTATTTCAGGCATTATTTTAGCTTTGAACTCATCAGCTTTATCCCCTTTGACTGTTAACGTTTCGGTCTTCGAATACCATCTTATTTCTGTATTTTCTGCTTCGAATAATTTGCAATCCCCGCCTGGACCTGACCACTTTCCTGTCAACATTATTGAATCGCTGACAATGTCCTTTAGTTCTTCGAATGAACCAAGCCATTTCAGTCTACCGTTATTCGAAACGCATAGGTTATATCTAAGCCCTTCGTTCTTATTTAAAGTTTCTTCGTTTCCACTATTAACATCTAACCATTCAACAGCACTATTTTTGTCAGCCATAGTCGTTGTGTACTAGTTAATGCTTAGTTCCGCTGTTGTCCATAAGTGGTTTTGCCTTTTAGTTCCTGCTGCAATAATTCT